AGTAATCATCAGTGATGACAGAAACAGACTTTTTCAGAGATGTTGCCTGACCTATTGGTCTCTTTCTTGTTATAAATATAACCAGGTCTACTTAACTGTTAATGTTGCTCAATTTTACTCAGTTTAAAGTGTGGTAGTGGGTTGAAGGAAAGTTAAACTACTGTGTTGAGAAACCTGATACTTTTCAAGTTGATGTAAAACTTGAGCAAGGAACAGTACATTGAGGCTCCCAATAAAAGCCTAAAAACATTCAGAAGAATTTTGCTCCAGCATTGAGCCTCCAAAAAGGCCCTTTGTTTAAAAAAAAAACCTCACAATGCTTAACATTTTCTATTTTCAGACATTTAGTATATCTCTAAAGTTTTCAAAATAAAATTCAACTGGGAGATTGTATAGACGCAATACATAACTTCTGTTAAAAAGATTTGTTCAGATTTCTTACATAGTTTTTAATATTGTGCTGTAAGATGTGTACTTTGTGATTTTCTAATATAATTTATTTTAGGAGTTGAATTTTGAAATGGGGCACTTGGGTTAAGTCTTGTGTAGGAAGGGAGATGAATGATTAACTTGCTGGTATTTCTGAAGCGGTTTTTTTTAAACCAGTATGAGAGAAACACTTCCAGGAGTGCTTATGAGACTTTTGTTTTTTGTTTGCATTGGAAGAGTTTAACAAGTGTATGCTGCTTTCAGTTAGCAGGGTCAGGGATTTTTTTTGCCTTAGTGGAAATCCTGTTGACTTGAAACCATTTTTGGTTGCATTTTGCAGATTTCCTGGCTGAAATTGGATGTAAAAAACAGTATCCTGGAACAAGGAGTTAGTTCAGAGAAATTAGTCATAGGTTATCTCAGTATATAGGTTTTGTTTGAAAATTCCAGACCAGAAGTGTTGTTAGTATCGTGAAGGAATTATTTAAGCTCAGTTTTATGAATACTGAAGGAAGAGGCTATCAGACACTTGAGACCAGGAATTTAAAACATTTAATATTTGAGGACAGTAAGAGATGCTGTTGGGATAGATGGGAGATTGTATTTTACTGATATTTGAAATGTTCCACTTCGTGTTAGATTTAAAAAGCTTGGTCCATTCTATTTTATCATTACTTCTGCATGATAACATTCTGCTTTATTACTAAAACCAATTCTACAGCATTGTGTGCTTTATTTTTCTGTGAGAGACCACCTTGTTTAGATTTATTTTAAGAAGTAGATAATCTGTAAAACCAGATTCAAGTCTGGAATTCGACTTTTCTAGCAATAACATCAGCTGTAGTAACATCAATTCTCTCTTTAGGCTCTATCATATTGTTTACTCCCTATCCCATCCCCCTCCCTTTTTTCTGCATATAAACTGACGTTTTCCCCGCCACCACCAATTCTGAGGAAGTGTCACCAGATCCGAAACGTTAATTGTTTTTTCCTTCACTGCTGCCAGACCTGCTGAGCTTTTCCAGCAACTTTGTTTTTGTCCCTCACAATTAGTCCTGACTCCCTCTCTCAAATCTTTAAGTCTAAAATATATACAATGGAACTTTTTGCCCCACTGAGTTACATCTTCTAGCCTCTTATCCAGCTAGACTAAATGAACCACTATCGAGTCTTATTATCCTCTGCAAATCTGCACACTTCTCATATTTCCTGGTAAGCAAATAAAACCAACCCTCGCTACTTTTCCTCCATTATCAAGCATACTGTTCATCCTCTCTCCACCCACATCTATTGAAAGTTATTTTTTTAACTAAGATTTAAACTTGTATCTACCACATTTTACTTTTGTCCATCAATCCTCCCCTCATCCAGCCCAGCCTTGAGTCCTGTTTATTTTCTTCCGCTGATTCACTGTTCACTGATTAGTACTGACCAGCACTGGCTCTCTGATTGCCAACTGTAACCTCCAGGAATGGAGGTAATTACATCACATTCCCAAGAACCTGATTGAAACCTACTTGTTTGACTAAGATTGTACTTATCACTGCTATCTTTGGCTTAGTTGCTTTTTGTTTCATTAAATAACACAACATCCCTCAAAGAAACACAGGATTGTGACCTGACTTACAAATAACTGTGGTTTTCGAAGAAGCCACGTGCGCACATGAGGCATGCTCAAACTATTCATCTGTTATATTGTATTTAAAACACTGGTTTGTGAAATTGCTTGAGTCTAAATCTGTGATTTCCCACCCCACCCCATTAAAATGTGTCAATGCCGCAGTCACCATCTACTTAACAGCCAGATGATGGGCCACTTTTGCCTGAGTTATGGTCTGTTTTATGTTCTTTCATATAATTGTATTGCCTCACCCATGGAGTATTTTTTCTTTGTCACTGCCTTCTCCTGTATGTTTTGACATGATTTTAATTGTCTATAAATAATTGTGTAATTAAACCCCATTGCCTCAACTTCTCTCAGTAGGATTATAGAATTAATGCAGTCGACAGAGCAACAATCTCATTTGGCACAGATACTTTAAAGTTAACCATTGCTTTTAGATCTTAACAACAAATTACGTTCTTATGAATGAAACACATGTCACAGCAGTTGGACAAAATTAAATCACTTGATGCTTGAGTATTTGGTTTAGGTGCATGAAGACTTGGCAGTCTGGGTTCTTCAGCGAAATCCTGGTTCTTGCACTGGCCAATGCTTGAATCTCTAAGCTGGTATTTCAGTATAAGTAGACTGTTACCCTAGAGAAGAAATATGTCCATAGTTTAATTCTGCTCCAGGTATATTTCTGGTCAAACTGTGAAAGCGTTTGGTACCTGTTATTGAGATAAGGAGAGAAAATGGGATAGCTGCACGAATCCCTAAAAGCTTTAATGGCAGCTTTGGGCAGCTGTGGTACTCCTTGGGACAAGCCTGACTTTTAACTTGCTTTCTTTCTCTGCTTTCAAAATAATGCATTGTCCACTTCATTTCCAGGAATTGTGTATGTATCACAGTAGGCAAATGGTTTACCTTGCAGTGCATCCTGCAAGTTATTGGAAGAACCAGTTTCTATGCCCAATTTTTGATCATTTATCTCATGTGAATTACATTTCTGTGTGATTTTGAATGCCCTATCCCAAATATACAGTATTTTCTACTTGATTTAATAATGCTATACTGTCTCAAATTTCAACCTTTCAGCTGAAATCTGATAGTGATAACTTTAAGTTAAGTAACTACCCTTTCTATGAAGCATCAAGCAAACTCAACATTTTACTTGAAGTTTACGCTGTAAGGGCCGAGTGGTCTCCTCCTGTTCCCAATACCTGTCTTTGTAGGCTAGACAATTCAAAAGTAAAATGTAATATTTTCTAAGTGCTATAGCTTGGAAATTAAGTTGAAAGATAAACAACAAGCTTTGGACGTCTCTTCATTGATATGGTTATCTATTATTTTAGAGCTAACATTTTTCAAATTCTTTAGTAATTGTCTGCAACAGATACGATTTATGCACCTTTGTGGTTGAGTCCATTAGAACAAAAGAAGTAGAAACCATATTACTTCTGGTACATTTGGTTTTGTAGAGAGTCATTGAATATTTGTCACTGAATTATTTTTGTCTAATCCAGTTTATTTTTGACCAATTGTTTTATCCTTATTTACAGTTGAAGCATTTCACTGTGCCCTTTAAGTTCGTCCTAGTGTGCATTTTTTATTCAAAGTGAATCCTTATACTTAAATGCTTGCAATATTCTATTTCTTTATTTGCAAAAGCCAGACATTAATTCCCATTCTGAAGTTTGCTGTACTAACTTACGTTGTCAGCATGTTTGAAATCAGTGGGATATGTAATACGTCTCTAGAAATACTTTGCTATGAAAAGTGTCTGTTCATTTACATAAACAAATCAATGTGAGACATCTAAGCTCTAAGAAATTTGAACAATCCGTATGTAAAATATCAAGAAAAAGAACAAACAACGGATGCAAGTATTTGTTCTAAAGTCTGCATGGTAAACACAAAGTCCTTGATAAGGCCATGCAGTTGCAACCTAACCAGCAATTTCTAAAGATTTTTCATGGCTTCATTGTTTTTTTTGTATTTATTGTCCTTATTTATAAAGGTAAACACACTGTTCATTTTTATAATGTTCTTAGCAACTTATTCCTACTTGCTAATGCACTTGGTTCACTCTAATACAGTTTAGATCATGCTGCCTATGTGGTGTTCATCTCAAAGAGTATCACTTGACTACATCAAATTACATGGATCACGTGCCTGCCCATTCCATCAGTTTTTGTGCTCCAAATGTCTGGGGTCTACTACCTTCTAACTGTTTGCAAATGCTTCAAAATTTGGCAAACTTTAAAATTGTACACTTCTATGCCCAAGTCCAGATCATTTTTCAATTGTCCTAACATTGATCTGGGGGGGATGCTATTTCATACTTTTTTCCAGTGTCGTTCCCTAGTATATCTTCAACTGCAAACTTTTTTTTTAAATTTTAGAAATAGATGCAGAAATCTGCAAAGTTAAGTGGCCTAAGGGGTGCATAAGAGTTAACTTGGAGATTGAAACTACTCTCCTGTCCAAAGAGGGAATAAGAGAAATATTCTGGACTGATATGAATTTCCCCAAAACCAATTCAAAAGGATATTGACAAAAAGACATTCTGTTACGAAGCAGAGGTCGACTCTCCTTGGTTAACAACTAAAACTGAAACACCCAGAGAGGCTCGCCTCATCTCACCTCACCTCACCTCATAATCTGTTATGAAGAAGTGTGGAAAGTGGTATAACCTGCCTCTCACCGCCCAATCTGTTATAAAGGAGTGGCTAAATAAAATTAAATCCTGACAGTCACCCTATAATCAACAGGTAACAATTTATTTATCCAAGTCTAACAAGTGAACAAATTAACAGAACTACTAACAAACCAAACAATTCCCATTTTATTACTAATACTGAATAAAACAAAATTCTGATGGTATGCTGTTCCAATAAATACAAGTCCCACTTATATAAACCAAATAATTAAAAAAAAATTAAAACCTAATCTCTTGAAATTACAGCCAGGATATGTCTTTAGGAATCCTCTGCATCCTCTCCACTGATCTTCAGTTAGGAACGCCTCTCTCCATCAAATTCTTGTGTCAAGAATATTAGGTAAGAGTGCCTTTGTACCTTTAGTTAACTTATGTTTCTTTTTCTGAGAGCTTAGAGAGTTCTGTGAGAGCCAGTGATTTTTGTCTTTTGAGCAGATGGGTTGCTAACTGTATTAGATGGCAGTTGTTCTTGCACTGATTTTCAAATGCCCTCTTCTTTTATACCCTTGATGACCTATTAATTTTTTTACAGTAGGATTGGTCCTAGGTTATCAAAACTATCACACTTAAATTTAATTGGTTTTTAGTTTCTAAGTGCCTGGTTTAAATTAATTGGCTGATTTTCAAACTGGTTGCCTTTACAACAAAACAAACCACTGCCTGGCTTGTTAATCAACACAACCTTTCATACAATGTTTCAATTTCAGGAGCTCTTTGTGCACCTGCCCATTTTTAAAAATCTCCAAACCTAGAAAAAACACATCATCTTTTAAAGGAACCACACACTCTTTTCCACCCCTCCCCTCGTTTCCACCCCTCATTTTACAAACATCAAATTCTAATGTCCTGCCTGCCAATCCACAAATATTCTACCCAACTTCACAACAATTGTTTCAAACTCTTCAGGTAGTAGATCACAACATAGGATGTATAATCAAAATAACCATTCATCCTTGTTTGGGAAAAGTGCTTTGAATATGTCAAATATAGCATGGTGGGACAGCCATGTTCGCCTGACTTTAAAATCAGCAATAGCTTTCCTGCGGATAGGGTTCCTGCAGGAAGCTAACAGACTGAAAATATTCAAAACAGCTAAGGTACTTAAATACCTTTTTAAAGGGAAGATTCCATCAGCAAGGAGGTCTTCCAGAAACTTCTCCAAATTCAAGTTCACTTGAGAACTAATTTTCTAATAAGTTTACGACAGAAGTCTCGGCTGCTATGATTCCTTTGCATTACAAGACCCTGACTTCAATTTTAAATCATCATCAACTTCATTCAAGCAATCAGGTTAGCCTTTTTGGAAATAGTCTCTGGTCTACGAACTCTGAGCTCACTTGTAACTTGTTACAGTTTTACTATGTTTAGCTGTAATTAATCTTTGTGCAAATGTGCAAGTAAGGATGAACTATGTAAGTCTTAAATTAGGACTAAATAGCCTTCTTTTTATTAAATTTCTCAAGCTTGCTACTGAAATAAGTTTGCACACACCTGAGGTACAAAAAATCCTCACTTCTTTGATATGAATCTGTGCTGAAGCACATACTAAGCATTGGTACCATTCAGGAAACCACGTATTTACTAGCCTTTCTGTCTCTCATCTTTTTAGATGAGCTGTCAACGTACCATTCATCTTTTCTACTTCGAGATCCAGATAGATTTTTGAAAGTCTATTTGCACAATTCTTGCACTACCTTCTTCAGTTATCTCCCTCTTATTTCCTCAAAAAAAAGAAATCAAATTAACTTTGTCAGATTCAATTTCAGGTCAAATACTGCTGATTGTTCCTTTTAATAGCCTGCATTTCTCCATTTTAAAAATAAATCCACAAAAACGCCTGGATAAACGGTGTAACTAGTCACTTGAACCATTCTCCCAGCTTTTCAACCAACTACTTAATGGGAAATTGAGAAATCAACTGTGGAAACTAACATGATTTTAAAATTTTTAATAACTTTCTGGGTAACCAGATCTTTTTCATATAAACTGAATAACTATCAGTTTCTTGAAACTACATCCGTCCGCTGTTATTGCGCAAGAGATATTGGATGCAATGTGAAAAATGCTAGTTTTGAAATAAAGCAGCTTTCCAAAGGTGCAAAATGGTGGGATTTGAGTTGACAACATTGACCCTGATTTCAGTCCCTGTGATTGTATTATAGTTAATTTAATATTATTTTAAAAGTATAGTTTTTGGATTTTGGTGTAACTCGTATGTTTAAATGATGTGAAAAGTATGATCTAAGAGCTTGTGATTCTTATCTTTTTTCATTGTTTGTAATTTTTCTGCTTTTCTACTTTGATACTAAGGGGCAAAAAATCATTTTGTGTATACAGTTGAGAAGTTATGTGATGTTGACTGAAAGCAACACATATTTCATTGAAATAACAGTGTGGAGCTGGAGGAACACAGCAGGCCAGGCAGCATCAGAGGAGCAGGAAAGCTGACGTTTCAGGTCGGGACCATTCTTCAGAAATGGGGGAGGGAGGGGGAAGGGAGCTTGAGCTCCACGCTGTGTTATGTCTGACTCCAGTGTCGACAGTTCTTACTATCTCTGAGTGACATATTTCATTGAATGTTTGATGCATAATTTTTTTTTAACAAGATACTATAGTTAATTTACAAAGAACTAAATAAAGCATAAGAAATTGCTTTGAACTTGAACCTAGCAGTCAGTTTGAACTTTTTAAAATTCCTATTCCCAGCGTGAGAGGCATAACATTGCATGCAGAGGTTTAGTGAAGAAAAGAATAAGTTGTTGATGTGCAGGTGGTTGACAGGAAAGTGGCCAAGCACATGAGAGAACAATACTCCACTTTTAGCTGGCTAGCCAGCAAACACTTCAAGAGGGGTATCTTTGTGTTTAAAATGCAAAAGTGGAAGGGAGATTATCAATCCTAATTGCAGTTCCTGTTTTACTTGTACACTGTGTATGATCATTCATAAGAGGTAAAATTGTCATTTTCTGTCCACTAAATTGTACTGAAATGCATATTTCGCACTTTATTTCAATGCTACACCACCGTCTGCTCTATGGTATCAAATATACCAGCTCAGTCCTGTCAGGTAGCTCTTGCTGTTATGTCCTGACTTGTGTATTGCCTCTAAGTTGCTTGTTTGCAGTTAATAAAAGTAATCAACAAACATGAATTCATGAAGAAGATTAACATTTTACTTTTGCAAAGCAACAACAATTTGCCTTGACACAAATGGACTCTGGGGGTCAAGCCACATTCTTGTCTGTGGTCAGATGACAAGCTGACAAGTGATAGCAAGCACGTTACGAGGATAACTCAGTGAACTAATAGTCTGTCCATGATGTAACGTTTACTGAAGGAAGACTTCTTGCCCAGAAAACAGAAGAACACTGTAGCAGTTGATCTACAGGCAGAGGAGTGAGGCTATTAGTTGTTACTTGCAGGCTGTTAGTTCACGATAGGAACTTGACAATAACTTAAAATGAAAAAGCCAGAAACCTAGCATTGCATGGGGTAAGCTACTGAGAGTTCATCAACAGAAACTTTTAATATCCATTGTCCTCAGTAAATCGAGGCAGGATCCATAGACCTGCCATCGTATTGTCTACTATTTGATGAACTGTTTGAGTTATTGCCATTTTGGACTCTTTTCAAAAAAAAAACTAAGTGCATGGTATCTATTTTGTAATCTTTACTTTTGTGGGTGTTGTGTTTACATTTTGGGTGTTCGGAGAACTAAACATTTATTCTTTTAAACCTACAAAGTTTGTCATGTTAAGTTGCAACAGTCCATGGATTTAAATATTACCTAAAATACATCTTGTTCTGGTCAGTCAAGAGAAGGACAAAGGGGGAATTGTCTTGCATCTCTTCCTTTGATAGTAGTAACAATTATTCAATTTCAGTAGGGCTTGGCATTCATTTAAGGCTGAGGGAAGAAAAGGAGACAGCAAGTGCAGGTAAAGTGGAAACATTAAGGAAATATAGCCAGCAAGGTATATGAAGAAGGCTTTTGAATGCATGGAGAAATTCTGAGATAACGGGTGTGAGAGTCTACATGAAAAAAAATTACGTGATGGGGAGAATGAGAAATGGTTTTGCTTTTTAGGGTGTGCATATAGATTGCAGATGGAATGTGGGAGTTGAGGGGGGAAGGTTGGCAAAGCTCATGGAAAAATCTGAAGATGAGAACCCCAAATAATGTAGAAATGAAATATCACAAGATACTTGAAATGGAGAGAGCAACATTGAAAAAGCAAAATCAGAAGTACAGTAGAATAAAACTTTGGGGAGACTTTTAAATGTGGAATGAGAGTAATTAAAGCCCACTCCAAGGGCTGGAATTTTCTGTAGGAGGAAGAATGGTCAAGTCAGAAAACATCCTAGGAGACATGTCTCCTTTTTAAAAGGCCCTTGCCCATTGGTATTTTCATTCTGGGAAGTAGAGGTCTGACAGAGTTGGGGCCCACCATCTCTGGAGGCAGCTGATAGCCAGGCTGGAGTACCCATCTCCACTTACTGGAGCATTTTACAAAAGAATGACAGCACCTCAAATGTTCACCCCTTACAGCCTCCTGGTTCCCATATCTCCATGGCCGCCTCAAGGCGGCATGGTGTCACAGTGGTTAGCACTGCTGCCTCACAGCTCCAGGGACCTGAGTTCCAGCCTCTGGCATCTGTCTGTGTGGAGTTTGCACGTTCTCGCCATCTCTGCATGTGTTTCCTCCCACAGTCCAAAGATGTGCAGGTCAGGTGGATTGGCTCAGTTAAATTGACCCATAGTGTGCAGGGCTAGGTGGGTTTAACCACGGTAAATGTGGGGTTACGGGGATAGGGTGGGATGCTCTTTGGAGAGTCAGTGCTAACCCAGTGGACCAAATAGACTGTATCCACGCTGTAGGGCTTCTAGTGTATCTAGGTCATGCCAGGTACCGAAGCTGTGTCCCCCATAGATTGAATGAATGAATGAATGAATAAACCAAATAGTATGTTTCTTCAGTTGTTCAGAGTACAGATTATACACAAACAACCCACTCTTGCATATCCCAGAACAAAACATCTGCTGTTAGATATGATTCCACAATTAAGCAGCATTTACTGAATAATCCTGTGTCCAATAGGTACACAACCAGTTTGATTATTGTCAGTTGAACTCATGTGGCTCACTTAAAGTTGCGAAAAGCAACATATTATATTCAGGGACCTGTTACAACTTAACAAAAGGAACATGTTCAGTTCCAGTGCTCGGACTGCTTCTGGAATCTATTGTTATCTGTTGCTTTCTCTATGGCATCCCCTCAAGTCAAAGTCAACTAATTAACACTCATTTCCTGCAGTATAAACTGCTGTGATCATTTGAAA